GGCGAATTTGCTGCACTAATTATATGATAACAGCACCAGGACAAATTCCCCAAATGTAAAATTGACTTGTTACTGATTTAAAAGTCAATTGTTATTTGTCCAAATTCAAGTTTATTGGTTGCGCTAATTTATTATAGCATTAATGTTTCACATGAGTCTTTGACATTAAAATAAATACCAAATTTGAGTATTTATACAAAAAGATAGTACCTAATTTTTTAATATAGTTTTGCCCAGAAGGCAAACTAAGAACATTAATTTATCTGTCACTCGTTATCTTGCATGACATTTACGATAGTTACATTGTACTCCAGTAGTAGTACATGACAAATTACACTAAGGGGTCGTTTGGTTCACGGAATGTCAGATTACCTTAGGGAATGTTAGATTGCTGGGAATGTTAGATTACTGGGAATCTTAGATTCCTGTGTTTGGTTAAAATTGGTGTATGTTATATAATCATGTTTGGTTTAGGTTTATCTTTTATACACACACTATAATATCTCTAACATAACCAAGGTTATCTTACATAACCTAAGAAATTGAAGGGAATCACATTCCCTTCAAAATCCTATGTGGAGGGAATGTGACATTCCTTGGGAATGTTAGATTCCCTCAGATAATATGAACCAAACATAGGAATCTGAGTTTTGGAATGTTACATTCCCTTGGTTATGTTATATAACCTGAACCAAACGCCCCCTAAGTGTTTTGAATATCATTGATTTTTTGTTGAAAGATATCAAAAACTTAGTTTCCTTTTGCAAGAACATACTCTCTGAGTTTTGAATCTTCCCTACTTGACAATGTGTTTGGTCATTGGGCTTTTAAAAAAAAAAAGGTCTGAAAGATTCTGAATATGAATTGATCTTTGAGTGACTAATGACTCACGACTCGTGAATGAAGTCTGCGACTTCTATTTTTAATGCAATGCTACTATGCAAAAATGTTATGTGCTTAACAGCTAAAAGTGAGTCACACTATGTTGGTTTGCCTGAAGCAAATAAATTGCTAATATTTGGCGTTTAATCTCCCTAAGATTGTCGAATGTTTCAATCATTTTGTTCAATGTGTATGCTTGCCCTATCTGATTTTATATGCCACTTGTGGTAAATTTCATATACATTTGACAACTTATTATGTTGTGATAATCTTTACATTTTTAGAGACTCATTTTTTTAATTATGGCATGACCAATTGGGTCTCTTAGGGCAAACATAATGAGTTAGATATTACAATTTCTTATCCACATGAGTACTTTATAGAGCATGTGTGAAGGAAAAATTACTGAATTATATGTTTTGGGGATATATTTTTTTTACCCAAATCTAACTCGATGCATATCACAAATCAATCCCTCAAGGATTGCTATACCCCCCCCCCTTTTTTTTTCACCTAGTACGTGGTTTCAGAAGTAACATTTCCCTATCTGCGTTATTTTATTTGCGCAGTCTATTTTATATCACCACCACAACGTACCTCTAAAAGGGCTATCAAAGAAATCTCAGTCTATTGATTCAATACCGAAAGCCCATGATAGGGGATCAATACATATAATTGGGTACGTTGACTGCATTCCTAATGAAGATTGTTTCTCGGCATTAGGGGGAGATAATATACTACTCCGTAGCTTTTTGGAATGCCAAGAAATTTCATAAGAATAAAAACATCTTCATTATTTAAATCCATGTACTAGTTAGATTGAACTGGAAGTTCAAAAGATAATCTATTTGCGATTTAGCAAATAATCTGCCAAATATATCTATTGATCATAATGATCATAAAAGAAGTGACTAGGTCCTATATCATTGGACCAAACATATCTATCGATACTCCTTGACACTAGAAGTGTAGGAGATCTATCGGTGAAAGAGATATGGATCATAATACTAGATCTAGTAAAGAAATATTGTCACTCTTGAAATAGCTTGAATAATTATGTCCTGCAGACATTCGTCCAGATGACGAAAAAAAAAAAACCCTGGTAAGACTTATGGGTGCACCAAACAAACGTAAAACTAGGGATGCGGAACGACCAGATCAAAATATCTTTGGGAAATGTTTAGAATCTGGTTGTTTTATAAATTGCCATTACATTTACAAATATGGAATTTTTACAAAAAAGTTATAGTTGTCGACAACACAATTGCCATTACAAATTGCTCGTTATATGATAATCTGGATCCAGAGTTAGGCACCAGAAGTGCCATGACTATTTAATATATAAAGGAGCAATTAAGGCATAGCTCGACTCGCTAATATGAATAAATTCTCTTTATAACAACACACCATTAAGTGTTAACCCTGAAGGTTACAAATGGGTGTGTGCATGAAAGAGAAGTAAGAATAACAAGGTGATATGATATGTAGCGAGTTTGTAGCCTATGGGTCCATGCAGAGACCCTTAATTGATTTTAATCAAATATATTCTCCCATGGTAAATGGCATTAAGTTCCGCTACATAATACAATTGGCAGAATAATAAATTTAGATATGCAGTTAAACTTATCTTGAGAAATCCCTGATGGATTCATAATTCTCGAAATGAGGATTTATTTAAGTATTATTATGTGTCATTATTTACTCTTTAAAGGGTTGCGAATGAAGTTAATATCCTCATTGAAGGAATAATATGTATCATTGTGTGCTCGATAAAGGGTTGATAATGAACTTATTTATTATTTATTATCTCAGTCAAGATTGATGGTGTAAACATCAATGAAATATATAAAGAGCTTGATAATGTCAGTTCATGTTTAAAGATTGAGACTTTTGAAATAAAAAGCTTGTGAAAGCTATAAGTATTATCTCGACTTGAAGATCGAGTTTTTCTTTGAAATTTTTTTGTATACACCAGTCAGCCAACATCTAAGATTGCTTTTTCACATGTCTATATATGCATATAAGTGTCATGTTTTTATCAAACTAAAGGTTGCCTAATAATCTCTTAAAGCAGATAAGGAACCTTTTTGGACTCGAAGTCCCTTACTTCATTATCGTTGGAGCACCATTATAGAACCAGAAGTTCTATAATCGCAACATATTTGCGATGAAATTGCTAGCAAAATCTAGTGCTCCCCCCTACAAATGAAGTACTTGAATAATGATTAACATATCCTCCGGTATCTTCGAGATACAAAGACATGACATTTATGTAAGAAACCATGATACGGTTTTAATAGGCTACTTGGGTACTGGCTGTTTTGTTTGATCCCCGCAATGCGAAACCCAAACTGGTTATACAATGAATTTTCCTAAATGTTCAAAATGAGGACAATAACACTTGTGTTGCACAAATGTTATATGAGCTCTAGAAGAGCCATAAGATTATTGTACACTATAGTGACAATCCAGAAGATTTGTCCAATCCATCTCTTCGAATTTTGAAATATATGTAGAACTTGAAGATTGTTATCTTCAGGGGGAGACGGGAAGTACATTTACTCGAATCAATTCGGAAGATTGGACGTAAAATCCTGAAGATTAAGTCATAAAAGACTAACAATTGCGCACTATTTGCAACGCATAAATACATAAATATCATGTACTCTTTTCCTCACTAGTTTTTCTCCCATTGGGTTTTCTAGTGTGGTTTTTAACGAGGCATGAGTATGATATAGTAATGACAATGAGGAAAAGTTGCAAAATAATTGCTTAAATGGACAAACCCCAAAATCCTGAAGATTATGCGGTTTGCGCCCTGAAGGCTTATGGTTGTACTCTTTTTCCCTTAACTAAGTTTTTCCCACAGGGTTTTCTTAAGTTAAGGTTTTTAATGAGGCGACCAAATACAATATATGTTTTTACATATATCATGTACTCTTTTCTTCAACTAGGTTTTTCCCACGTGGTTTTCCTAGTGAAGTTTTTAATGAGACATGAATATATTTTCTATTGTACTCTTTTCTTGTCTAGGTTTTTCCCACCGGGTTTTCCTAGCAAGTTTTTTTTTTACGAGACGAAATCGTGGTCAAATAATGTCCAAGGGGGAGTGTTATAATTCATCATCATTATGGACATTATTATTGTAACGTATGTAACTGTTATACATTTATTGCATCAATTTAATACCTTTGTATTATGTATATATACTCTATACTTAGCTTGTTGTAGATGAAGATGATAATGAAGTTTTTTTTTCCTTTTAACATGTTCGAATTTGTAACACCCCTGTTTCCAAAAATAAAAATCCAAGATAACTTTTCAAAAATAAGAAATAATAATAATAGTAATAATAATAATAATAATAATAATAATAATAATCTTTTCAAGAATCAATTTCAATGAATATGGAGGAATACCAAATCAATAATGGGACATGGTCTTATTTAATTAAGCCCTAGTGAACAATAATTAATCTACTGAATACTACACAAATTTCTCATTCAAATGGAACTGGTCTAAAACCTTAATGGCATGTTTGGTTCGTTGGAAAATTTTTCCTTGAATTTGAAGAAAATTGGTTTTCCCTTTGTTTAGTTCATGGAAAACATTTTCTTCAAGAACGAGGAAAACATTTTCCATAACCCACCTTGGTATTTTGTTTTCCATACAAAACAAGTATGACAATAATGTCCTCACCAACTTTTCTTAATTACCATTATTATTGTGTTTATACTCACTAGTAACTTACTCGTGCAATGCACGGTCATTAAATATGGCCTATTAGTAATTCAAGATTATCGTCGTATAATAGTAATAAAAAAAAATGAAAGCAAATTATAAGTTATAAATTATTCAATAACAAATAGATAAATAAATTACAAATTGTTGAAAATTTCTTTATGTACGCCATTTTTTGTCGTACAGACAAACTCTCCATTCTCCCCACAAATCAATACTTTTAACCCCCTTGGACTACTTACTCTTGAAATTGCAACATACATTTGACCATGGTTAAACACGGACTTTTTCAAAAACAAACCGACGTGTGCTAATGTTTGCCCCTGGCTTTTATTGATTGTCATTGCATAAGAAAGCATCAAAGAGAATTGTTTCCTCTAAAATTTGAATGGTAGTCTTGGATCTGAAGGTGTTAGTGACATTCGAGGAACTAAAACTTTTGTTCCTACATGAGCTCCGCACATAATCTTCGCTTCTATAACCCAATCAGCCAATTTGGTAATAATCAACCGAGTACCATTACAAAGGCCTAATGAATGGTCAATGTTTCTTAACAACATCACTGGAGAGCCTACCTTTAGCGTAAAACAATGGTTTGGAATACCCAAGCATTTGATTCCATTCAAGAATTCAGGTGTGTGCAAATCTGACAACATATCCACATTTGAATCGGACTTGCACACTGAATCACAACTCAAATATGTTCTACCTTTGGATTCATCCATTCCATTCATATACTCATTAATGCTGTGAACCACATCCAATGTTGGAGCTAAAATAGCACGGTTTTCAAGAACATATCGATCATAGTTTGCACTACGGTAATTAGGGAACGTAGATTCAACTATTGTAGTAATCAGATCATCCCCACAGTGCAATATATTCTGTTGCGGTATAGATATATCGCAATCCATATCATTTGCTATCCCTACAACACCGTCACCAATCTCAGCTATCCACTTGGCGAAATCTTCTACTTCGTGATAGTCCACATAATCTTGGATGTTACGCAACCGATGATTTTTTGTTAACCTCAATACTCTACAATTTTTCCATAAGTACGATGAATTGATTGTTGCTCCGACAATATCTTGCATTGTCCCCTTTGGAATAACTGGAAGTATTTGCCTAAAGTCTCCACCAAGTACAAGTGTCTTCCCACCGAAGGTCATTTCCAAACTACCAGGATTTTGAAACCTTAGCAAATCTCTCATTGTCTTGTCCAATGCTTTGAAGCAATGTTTGTGCATCATAGGAGCTTCATCCCAAATGATAAGACTGCAACGCACGATTAATGCTGCCAATGGACTACCTTGTTTAATGTTGCAAGTAGAGTCCTCATTTATATTGATAGGTATGGCAAACCTCGAGTGGGCTGTACGTTCACTAGGTAGCAGTAATGATGCTATACCGCTAGATGCAACATTTAGAACAATTTCACCTCTTGACCTTATGCATGAAGAAAGTGCTCGCCATAGAAAAGTCTTGCCAGTTCCTCCATAACCATACACAAAAAACAACCCTCCTGCCTTTGCATCAACATCTGCCATAATTGCGTTGTAGGTATGTCGCTGCTCGTCTGTTAATTGGCCAACTAATTGTTCATTCTCAAGCCTTTGCGCTTCACGATCATATGAAAGTTCTTCATATATAAGTCTATTAGATGTAAGTCTGGATGCACCATAATCCGGAACAGGCATGTATGGGAAGTCCTTTAGGGTCCTGCCCCACACGGCTAGCAATTGTTCAATCTCATTCAATGCATAGTTCTTTCGTTCTTGTTTGGTCAATATTAGTTCTGAAAAATACAACGGTATAGTAGTTAAACGGATTACATTATAAAAAAACACAATCACACATTATACAATGTATGCTATTGTATTAGATTGATAAAAAAATAGAACCTAGATCTTTTGTTAGATGTCTAGTATTAAATTGCACGTCATCAGCTAAATGATGCCACTGATGCCGCACCGCTTCCCATACAGTCTCTGGTTTTGCAATTGAGTTGGAAGTCAGGAGTGTAATAAACAATTTTCTCAGAGCATGAGCTGATGCCCATTGACTTGCTTCGTTTACCGCGTCAACATACTCTTTGTCGTCATCTAACAACCCTCTAGCATAACACGCTTCTCTAAAAGAAACATGCGTTTGACCGGCTACAGTTTTTAGATCTTCAATAAACATCGAAGATAATAGATTTCTCCAGTGCCCGGTGGTACGTAGAAGATTTGCCCTATTGCAAAACCCTTTTTCCGTGGATGCCATTGCCTTACGTCTTTCTTCCAAACAAATTTTGTGGGCATCTCAGCATAAGTCAATGATCTTGCCTCTTGGTACTTTTTATTTGTTTCAAACCATTCTAGAAACATGTTGTGCGCTACAGACGGGCGGTTTAAAACGTCGTCCATTGCATCATCATCTTCAAACACAACCGTCTGCTGTTCTGGCAAATGGAAGCTCAAACACTCTACCGCTGGATTCTTATGTTGTATCTCAAATCCAAACAGACGCCACGATGCCTCACACGGTGAAATGTATCTACAGTCGCAATACATATTTATTTCATCCACAACGGTACCATGTTGTTCATCAGCATTCGTCTTGTAGAATTCAGCGGTAACCCTATCATGCCCCTTGTTAACGTATTTGAACAAATATTTGATTGAGCGGGATTGATTACACCACTCAACATTAATATGAGCCTTGTACTTTAAGAGAATGTGCCGATTGTGGGGAACCACGTATCTATTATCAAGTTCAATTCCATTCCTATTTACTGTACGTGTAACAGCCCGTGTTACGGCCTCTAAACCAATAAATTATTTAATCATTTACCCAAAAGAAAGAATTAAATTCCATTAATTAATTAGGAAGAGTCCACCATAAGCACATGGACCGTTATCCCTAAAACCAACCCCTTAGTCCTATAAGAAATAGAATTAGCGAACCCATACCATTTAGACCCTAATTGGGACTCTTAGATATATAAATAGGGACATAGGAGGCACCTAGAACTCACACCACAATAACTTACACCACACAAGAATTCCCAAGAAATCCCATAAGAGAAATCAAGAAAGAAGAAATCTTAAAGAAAGACCCTTCATAGCCAAAGAATTTAATTAAGGCGAAGAGGTAACCCATGTCTCAACAAAACCTATTTTCTTTGCTATAATCTTCTTCTTTGGCTCCCTCTATATGCTTGTGTCTTGATGAAATCTTCTATGATAATTATGAAATGATCTTGATGAATGATGTGATGATTTTATGTGAGATCTTGATAATCTTGATGGTGATAAGAGGATCTTGATGATCATGTGATATTCTTGATAAATCTTAATGTTTCGTGATATTAAAGATGAACTATGATTTGATGATTTAAATATGATTAGAGCCCTAGGATGAATCGTGAAATTCGTATTGTGATATTCTTGGTATATTTAGGTGGGAATTCGCATGTTCGGGTGTTGATTATGTTTAGAAGTCATGATAGGATGTGTTCTATGTGATTCTTGCTTTTGATCCGTTAATTGTTTACGTGGTGTCATCAATTGCGTTTAAAAGTGTCTAAGCATGGTTTCGGGTTCCACGAAAGATCCCGGGACGTATACTTTGGAAAAGAGTCAGTGGGGGATAGGTGGGGGTAGGGGGACCTGCTACCTACCCGCTGCCGAAGTAACGGCACCGGCAGCGGGCAGACGTCTGCCCGCCGGGCACCCGCTGCCCGGAGGTCTGTCGCCGGCGGGTGGCCCTCCACCCGTCGGCAACCCGCTGGAAATTTGCCCACTTTGGGACTTCGGCTTCCCCGTTTGATGTTCCCCTACCCCCGTGGTGTCCCAACGGAATCCGTTTGTCGTGCATGAGTCTAGTTGATGTTTCGGGTACCGTTCGTAGGATAAAAGAGTCTCGTATATTGCATGCTAGTTGAATCGGTAACCCGTTGGCCTAGGAGGAAGACGTATGAACCCCTTAGGACTAATCTTAGTATGTGGATAAACACGCATAAGTTTATTTATACGCTTTCCCACTTCCCTATGTGCTAATATGTGTTGCTATGTGTTATGTGAGCATGATACCCCAATTTGGTTGCGATCAAATTGGTTATACACGAGCTGCGGTTCGTTATCTTGGCTGCGGTCAAACTGGTTACTCATGAGCTGTGGTTCATTCTCCTGGCTGCGGTCAGTGACTCACTTCTTGGGCTGCGGTCCACATGGGCCTAGTGTGCTATGGTCCACCGACTGGACGCGCCAGACGGTGTGTAGGGCCACTAGCCCGAGGAAGGCCATAGTCAACCAAATGAGTGATCAGGCGGTGTGTAGGGCTATGGTCAGCTGCGATCCACCGAGTGTATGTGCCAGCGGTGTGTAGGGTCGTAGTCCCCAAAGATCATTGCCCACCGAATGAGTCCCTCAGGCAGTGTGTAGGGCTTTGACTAGCTACGACCCACCGACTGAGCTCGTCAAGCGTTGTGTAGGGTCGTAGTCCCCAAAAGAGGATCACAGTCCACCGACTGAGCGCGTCAGCGGTGTGTATGGCTGTGATTCGCCGTTGAAACTATTGACGGTCTATACAATTGGCTGCGGTCAATTCCTTCATGCTGCGGTATGAGGTAGGGTGCAGCGGGGCCGTGTTAGTGCTATATGCACTAACCCTCATGTTTGGTGCATGCGATTGGTCCCGTGGCGCCACCAAAGTGTGCTTGTGTGACAAGGATGTTGATTGAATGATGATGTGAATGATTTGAAAGTGAACTGTGACCTTAGATACTTGTTCTTTATGATATTGTCTCTATATAACTGATTATCATTGTTTAATGTGCTTATCCCTACCTGTCGAGTCTGTTCCTGGTTTTAAAGCTAGAGTCTCCTAAGTATATATCTTCCTGCTTCAAAATGGTTTATATATATATATATATATATATATATATATATATATATATATATATATATATATATATATATATATATATATATATATATATATATATATATATATATATATATATACCTATATTGTATTTCAACGCGTTGGAGTGGGTTACCAGCATCATTCGCTGAACAGATATATTTGGCTTTCAGGCACAGATGATTAACTTCCGGAGCGCGCTAGAAGAACTTGGATTAGATAGATAGTTTTCCTTTCGGCCTGCGTGCCATGATGATGTATTGAGGATATTTAGTTAGTTTAGCCTGTGCATCTGAGTTCTCCAGCTCAGATGTGGCATAGCACCCCGCACTCTTTTGTTTAGTACTACTATGTTTTGGGATTTAATGAGAATTTACCTTTATTATATAAGTTCTAAAAGTTTCGAAATTTTGGGGTGTTACAGATGGTATCAGAGCCTAAGTTTGACCCTAAGACAAGACTCTTAAGACCAGACTTTAGGACATTAGGCTTGAACTCTAGGTGTTCAGGAACATAGGATTTAGGAATCATAGGACGCGCGGTGAGATTGTGAGCCCCCTAAAACTTCCCCTCACTCTAAATCACGCTTAATTTAAAGAACTTCCCCCTACACTCATAGCATCAAGGTAAGGATGCAAAATAATATCGACCTGTAAACCCCAGGATGGCACCAACAAAGAAACAGGCAAAAGCACCAGGACTCCCCACACATGAATCCTTGATTCAGAATCTGCAGCACCTGGCCCAAGTTGCCCAGACACTAAGCAACACAGTCCTTCAACCACCACCACCAAACAGAAACTTGGAAATCCACCGCCAAGTCTCGGAACATCGATCGCCTACCTTCTTAGGGGATGAAGACCCCACAATTCTCGACGAATGGATCGCAACCTTTGACAAAATATTCGGAACAATAGAATGCCCGGAAAATCACCAAATAGAAACAACCTCCTTCTACTTCAGGCACGAAGCCGACCTCTAGTGGGCCCACGAGAAACCCAGTTGCGAACAAAGCCCGGGATTCAACTGGGAGGCCCTAAAAGCACAATTACGGGAAAAATTCTACCCTAGTCACATAAAAACAGCCATACACGAAGAATTCCTCCATCTAAAACAAGGAGCAACCCCAATCACAGAATACTACCGGCAGTTCCTCAAGTTGGCTCGCCTCGCACCCTAGCTGGTACCTATAGAGTCAATCAAAATCGAGAAATTTATGACAGGCCTCAACCTCGAAAGCCAGAAGGCCCAAACCATACGCAAACCAAGAACTCTTGAAGAAGCCTATGCCAAGGTATCCCAACTACAACAAATACCGAGCAGGCCACAGGAAACACGCCTGGGACACGTGATAACCAAAGAGGGGATTAGGGTGGACCCAACCAAAATCCACGCCGTCAAGGAATGGCCCACACCGAAATCACTTTCAGAGGTCAGAAGCTTCCTAGGCTTAGCAGGCTATTATCGAAGGTTCGTACCCGATTTTACCAAGATAGCCCAACCCCTCACCAAGCTCATGAAGAAGGAAACCCCATTTCGATGGGACGATAGCTGCACCTCAGCCTTTCAAGAATTGAAAGAAAAAGTGACCACAGCACCCGTCCTAGCCCTTCCCTCTGGAGTGGAAGGATTCGAAGTTTTCAGCGACGCCTCCAAAAAGGGACTAGGATGCGTACTAATGCAAAGGGGCAAAGTAATAACATACGCATCCAGGAAACTCAAAACCCACGAAGAAAACTACCCCACACACGACCTCGAGCTAGCTGCCATCGTGTTCGCCCTGAAAATTTGGAGGCATTACCTATACGGAGTGCAATGCAAAATTTATACAGACCATAAAAGCCTGAAGTATATCTTCACCCAGAAGGATCTAAACATGCGACAACGAAGATGGTTAGAACTTATAAAGGATTATGACCTAGATATTCAGTACCACGAGGGGAAGGCTAACGTCGTGGCAGACGCCCTAAGCCGAAAGACTAACCACTCCCTCAACACCACCTGGATTCTGTCAGACGAGCTATGCAAGGACTTCCAAAGGTTGAATTTGGAGGTAGTAGAGCAAGGACAAACAAATTCTGAAATCCACCTATTCAATGTCAGAATCATACCCACACTACTTGAGGAAATCAAAGCCAGGCAGCAACAAGACCCAGAACTAGATAAAATACGACTCGACCTGATTCAGGGAAAAGACGGACCATTCAAAATATGTGAACATGGTAGCCTCCGCTATCAAGGAAGATGGTTCGTACCCACGACACGCCCCCACATGAAACAACAAATCTTGGAAGAAGGGCACAACTCACCATACTCGGTGCACCCCAGAGGGGACAAATTATACCAAGACGTGAAAAAGATGTTTTGGTGGCCCAACATGAAAAAGGAAATCGCAGACTTCGTGAGCAAAAGTCTAAACTGCCAAAGGGTAAAAGCCGAACGATGCAAGCCCAAGGGACTCGTACAACCCCTAGAGATACCGCTAGGAAAATGGGACTCCATATCCATGGATTTCGTTGGAGGATTACCCACGACACCAACATGTAAGGATAAAATCTGGGTAATAGTGGACCGGCTAACCAAGACAGCACGGTTCATTGCCATGAAAGAGACATGGACAATGACACAACTAGCTAAGGCCTACCTAAACCGAATAGTGAAGTACCACGGAGTCCCCCGAAATATTGTGTCCAATAGAGATCCCAGGTTCCTCTCACAATTCTGGGAGTCTCTACAAACAGCCATGGGGACACGGCTGAACCTGAGCACTGCCTTCCACCCCACTACCGACGGTCAAACTGAGAGAACCATTCAAACTCTCAAAGACATGCTAAGAGCCTGCATGTTAGACTTCCAGGGGACATGGGAAGAACACCTAGACCTCATCGAATTCTCTTACAACAACAGCTATCACGCAAGCATCCGCATAGCTCCCTACGAAGCACTGTACGATAAAAAATGCAGAACACCCTTATGTTGGGAAGACATGGTCAGTCCAGTGGCACTGGGATCCCAATACCTACAAGACACCATAACTAAAGTCAAACACATACAAGAAAGAATGAAGGCGGCCCAAGACCGCCAAAAATCTTACGCCGACCTGGGGAAGAAGCAAGCCGAGTTCTCCATAGGGGAAAAGGTCTGGCTAAGAATCTCACCCACACGAGGGGTGATGAGGTTCGGAAGAAAAGGGAAACTCAGCCCCCGGTTCATCGGTCCCTACGAAATCATAGAAAAAGTCGAGGACCTGGCCTACCGCCTCGCCCTACCCATCGAACTGGAGCGAGTACACAACGTATTCCACATATCCCAACTAAAGAAATATATACACGATCCAAGTCACGTGCTACAACCCGAGGCCATGGGCCTGGACAACACACTAACTTACGAAAAGAAACCCGTAAGGATCCTGGACACCAAGACAAGAACCACTCGGCAGCGAACCATAGAAATGGTAAAAATCCTCTGGACCAACCACGGGGCCGAAGAGGCAACATGGGAACTCAAAGACACAATGAAGGAACGCTACCCTGAACTCTTCACACAAGGTAACCAATGCGAAAGCGTAGGATAAGGGAAGAGGTCAACTCAGCAAAACCAAAGCTTCGGGGACGAAGCTTCCCGTTAAGGGAGGGAGAGTGTAACACCCCGTGTTACGGCCTCTAAACCAATTAATTATTTAATCATTTACCCAAAAGAAAGAATTAAATTCCATTAATTAATTAGGAAGAGTCCACCATAAGCCCATGGACCCTTATCCCTAAAACCAACTCCTTAGTCCTATAAGAAATAGAATTAGCGAACTCATACCATTTAGACCCTAATTGGGACTCTTAGATATATAAATAGGGACATAGGAGGCACCTAGAACTCACACCACAATAACTTACACCACACAAGAATTCCCAAGAAATCCCATAAGAGAAATCAAGAAAGAAGAAATCTTAAAGAAAGACCCTTCATAGCCAAGGAATTTAATTAAGGCTAAGAGGTAACCCATGTCTCAACAAAACCTATTTTATTTGCTATAATCTTCTACTTAGGCTCCCTCTATATGTTTGTGTCTTGATGAAATCTTCTATGATAATTATGATATGATCTTGATGAATGATGTGATGATTTTATGTGTATCCACCGAGTGTATGTGCCAGTGGTGTGTAGGGTCGTAGTCCCCAAAGATCATTGCCCACCGAATGAGTCCCTCAGGCGGTATGTAGGGCTTTGATCAGCTACGACCCACCGACTGAGCTCGTCAAGCGGTGTGTAGGGTCGTAGTCCCCAAAAGAGGATCACAGTCCACCGACTGAGCGCGTCAGCGGTGTGTAGGGTTGTGATCTGCCGTTGAAACTATTGACGGTCTATACAATTAGCTGCGGTCAATTCCTTCATGCTGCGGTATGAGGTAGGGTGCTGCGGGGCCGTGTTAGTGCTATATGCACTAACCCTCATGTTTGGGGCATGCGATTGGTCCCGTGGCGCCACCAAAGTGTGCTTGTGTGACAAGGATGTTGATTGAATGATGATGTGAATGATTTGAAAGTGAACTGTCACCTTAGATACATGTTCTTTATGATATTGTCTCTATATAACTGATTATCATTGTTTAATGTGCTTATCCCTACCTGTCGAGTATGTTCCTGGTTTTAAAGCTAGAGTCTCCTAAGTATATATCTTCCTGCTTCAAAATGGTATTCATATATATATATATATATATATATATATATATATATATATATATATATATATATATATATATATATATATATATATTTACCTATATTGTATTTCAACGCGTTGGAGTGGGTTACCAGCATCATTCGCTGAACAGATATATTTGGCTTTCAGGCACAGATGATTAGCTTCCGGAGCGCGCTAGAAGAACTTGGATTAGATAGATAGTTTTCCTTTCGGCCTGCGTGCCATGATGATGTATTGAGGATATTTAGTTAGTTTAGCCTGTGCATCTGAGTTCTCCAGCTCAGATGTGGCATAGCACCCCGCACTCTTATGTTTAGTAATACTCTGCTTTGGGATTTAATGAGAATTTACCTTTATTATATAAGTTCTAAAAGTTTTGAAATTTTGGGGTGTTACAGCACGGCCACCATCCCGCCATCGATATACTGGGTAGCCATCTTCATCAAAACTGGAGCTGTTAACAAATTTCTTAGGGAAATACTTGGAACACTTCCCAGCAACCATGCATGGTGAGTTTTTCCTATTTGGTCCATAGGGGCCTTGAATCATAAATTCTCCTACAGCATTGTTATATTTTGGACCTAGATTTTGATTTGGAATCTCTGTCGATATTATGTTGTCAAGGTCATCCACCACATTTGTAGAGTTTTTCTTCTCTAGGAACAACAGGATATGAGCATGTGGTAACCCTCTCTTCTGGAACTCAATTGTATATATCACTATATTAGAGAAACAAATGTATTGTGTTAAAACATTTGGTTTGCAACGTACGTGAAATTAGAAGGAATAGATTAACAATTAGTTACGTACCTGCTCTCACTGGTCCAAATAGATTGTGTTTTTTACAATCGGTCAACAACGCGTCCAACTTTAGCTTGAATAAGCGGCTTATGATATCGGGCCGATCTTCAGGTCTCAAATTATGTTTCTAAAGGTACCGTTCAATCTCTGCCCACTTGGGATTGCATGTGAATGTAATGAAAAGATTTGGATATCCAATCCACCTTCAGATTGCCATTGCATCCTGGTAATTCTGTATCATGTAACGTGCACCACCAGTAAAACTTGATGGTAGAATTACCCAACAACCTTGTGCAGCGGGGTTTACTTCACCACATGTCAGGGCATCAGTTAAACAACTATAAGACTCACACCTTAGTCTTTTCTGGTGCGTCCTGATATAAAGTAGCCTCCCCGACTCTACCATAGTGTAACCATCCACAAGGAATTGCTGGAACAACCTCCGCGAATACAACAAAGTAAACATTTCCAATGCTCGTTCATGGAGCCTAAAAGCAAAATACTCCCTTGGACTAATTCTTTGTCTACATTTTGAACCAAACCCTCTTAGTACACTAAAAGGGATATCATCCATATACTCGTCCTCACCGTATGGGAATAGTAATGGGTATTGCAACGGTAAGTACGGTGGGTTTAGCGTGCTGATTCTCTTTAGTTGGCCGCTATTAGTTTCTACCAGAATGTCCCTTTCTCCCATATTTGGCTCAAGATCGCCAACTATCAAAGCTGCTACTTCTGATACAGCCGGTAAATTGTATGTTCTCGTATCTTTAGTCCACTTTCCTAGCAATTTCATCCTCACTTCAGCCGTGGATTATTTTCTAATTCAGCCCTTGCCATCCGAAATAATTTCACCAACACATTGTGCTTGTCCAAATCACCTTGTATGTCTTTAACTATTTCAGTGTGTATGTTATTATCTTCACCATCGGGCCTAAAAGATGTTTTGAACTTATATTAAAAAAAATGAAAATCGCAACTTAAACTTTAAAAATGAATCCTTTAGTGTAGTGAATAAACCATAAAAATAGTCGTACCTTACAGCTTGTATTCGATTAGCTATCTCATTTTGTGTGTCGTAGATGTACAACTGTGCAAAATGTGGACGATGTCCTTCTTGCGGTAGAAGACTACCAATTAAATGGTAATTTTGGCCAGATAACCTGAATATAGGTGGGCCGTTTCCAGTATTCACCTTTTTATCAACACGGCTGCCCATTGATGTAAAGCAAAACATGTTGTTATAGAAACGTATGTGCCGGAGAAAATGCTTGCTTTTTTCGTCAGCGCCGAAAAACAATTGTTGTATACCATTTGGATGGGTTGAAGGCTGTGGCAAACTAATCTTTCCTTGGGTACAACACCGTGAATACTTTGGAGTCCCTCTAACAACAGCCTTGTTCATCCTTTCTTCAAACCAAAAAAGAGCCCCACAATGTTCACAATTGTAACTTGGATCTCCAATATCCATATATTCAACTAATGTGCAAGAGGAATTCTTGTAAGTGCAAAGGATAACTATGACACACACTATTATAATTGTAGTTGAAGGTAACTTACCAGGTTGTTGTATCAGTCTATTTTCGTCATTACTAGTAGTGTCGACATTTTCGAAATCACATAATAAGTCCCTTACAGTTGTATTATGATGATTTAAGACTCCTTCATATTCCATTTGCAAGTTACTACTATAGCCGCTATGCGATATAACGTACGTAGGGGCTATTTAAATAACAAAAAATATTCATATTAGCGACAACATCATAGCAAATGAACAATATTAAAATTCTTAATATTTGTAATAATATTTAAAATACTCTGTACATATGATTAATAAAATACTTACTTACCATTAGTAAGATTCTCGAAAGTTGTATTTCATTTCATATTAGTGTAATACATGACATCCATTGATGAGTTACATTACCTTGAGTTACGACACCTATTGGTGTATGCTTTGTTTGAGTGGCAGCATTGGATGAGTATAGTGCTCTCCTTTTACTATTACTCAGGGCCGGCCCTAGAGCAAGGGCAGGCTGGGCCCCTGCCCAGGGCCCATCTCTAGAGGGGGGCCCATAGACCCTATGATATATTAATATATTATATATTATATATTATATATATAATATATATTATTTAGGATACATTAAAAAAATTATTTAATTACTATTGACTGGATGACTTCTGATCGAAGTCCAAAAGACGTAAGATTTGGGAAGAATCGAAGAAAAGAGAAGTCGCAACCATTCATTCAATTCTTCTCCGGTAGCATCTACGGTACAGCAATCAATGGAGTTATTAGAAGCTCAGAAGTCAAATAAGAATGGGCAATGAACAATCTATTTTCATAATCCACAAATAACAAATCTTCTCTGCAAATCTACCTATTATACCCATATCACCAAGACTCATCGACAATCGCGGGTCACTCCAGTCAGCCGGTCCTGTTTGTTGGGAATTGTCGCGCCTTTACCACTCTGGTCTACAATTTTAATTTGCAAAGCCAAATGTATTTTATGATTTGAGATTTTTTTATTTTTGAAAACTATGATTTGAGAATTAGGCCGTATTGTTGAAAAGTCTATGATTTGGAAATTGGGATTTGGGATTTGAATAATTGTAGAATGCCAACATGTATAATGTATTGTCTGTATTACTGTATTAGGAATTTAGAAATTTGTAGAATTGAAAAGTGAAAACTACAAGTTATTTGGTTTTCAGAATTGGAAATATTGCAGAAGAATTTACAGAATTGGGATTTGAAAAATTGAAAACCACAAGTTATTACTTATTAGGATTCGAATTCCTAGTTTTCTACTTATTTTCTATTTCATTGTAATATCTGTTCATATACTTTCTCAACCTACTGAAACACAAAGAGCTAATAACGCCTCCACTAAGGCTTGAACTCACAACCTTCCTAATGGAAGTCCAATCCGGGTACCATTGGACCACATAGTCCTGGTAATTAGTAAGTTTAACTATTTAAGCCAAACTATATATATTCCATAATTATTCTCAAAGTGAAATGGTGTCAGGATGTCATATGCAGGGTCGGCCCTGGAGCAAGTGCAGGCTGGCCCCTGCCCAGGACCCATCTCTAGAGGGGGGCCCATAGACCCTATGATATATTAATATATTATATATTATATATTATATATATAATATATATTATTTAGGATACATTAAAAAAATTATTTAATTACTATTGACTGGATGACTTCTGATCGAAGTCCAAAAGATGTAAGATTTGGGAAGAATCGAAGAAAAGAGAAGTCGTAACCATTCATTCAATTCTTCTCCGGTTGCATCTACGCTACATCAATCGATGGAGTTATTAGAAGCTCAGAAGTCAAATAAGAATGGGCAATCAACAATCTATTTTCATAATCCACAAATAACAAATCTTCTCTGCAAATCTACGTATTCTACCCATATCACCAACACTCATCGACAATCGCGAGTCTCTCCAGTCAGCCGGTCCTATTCGTTGGGAATTGTCGCGCCTTTACCACTCTGGTCTACAATTGTAATTTGCAAAGCCAAATGTATTTTATGATTTGAGATTTTTTTTATTTTTGAAAACTATGATTTTAGAATTAGGCCGTATTGTTGAAAAGTCTATGATTTGGAAATTGGGATTTTGGATTTGAATAATTGTAGAATGCCAGCATGTATAATGTATTGTCTGTATTACTGTATTAGGAATTTAGAAATTTGTAGAATTGAAAAGTGAAAATTACAAGTTATTTGGTTTTCAGAATTGGAAATATTGAAGAAGAATTTGCAGAATTGGGATTTGAAAAATTGAAAACCACAAGTTATTACTTATTAGGATTCGAATTCCTAGTTTTCTACTTACAATGTAATTGTAATTAGTAAGTTTAACTATTTAAGCCAAACTATATCTATTCCTTAATTATTCTCAAAGTAAAATGATGTCAGAATGTCATATGCAAAATTAATTGTAGATTGCTCCTGTTGATGTTTAAAAATTATTGGTATTTACTCAGAATTAATTGGCCATTGGCCTATAATAATTCTTTTTATATAATGTTGCCTAATAAACATTTATCTGGAAGTGAAAAGAGAAAAAAAAGTTGAGCAGTTAATAGATTCACAAAGAGAAGCTATGAATAAATTTATTAAAATAGTAGGATCCTCTAATGAAAATTTAGAGATACCAAACGTGGATAGTCTTGATCAATCTAATGAAAATTTGAGTAATCAAGATCATATTGGTGAGGATATTAGTAATTTGAGTGGACATGATAATGTAATTAGTAATAGTCCTTTTGTTGAAAATGATAATGAAGAGGAAATTCAATCACCTGAGGAGTCCTTTAGAGTCAATTATTTTTTAACTGTTGTGGATATGGCAATTATGTCATTGAATAATAGATTTGAGCAACTAAAGATATTTGAAAATATTTTTGGATTTTTATACAATTCAAAAATATTGAAGTCATTGGATAATAATAAACTAAAAGAATGTTGCAATAGTTTTGCAATTACATACTTTTTCTCATAATGATATGTTTGATGTTGATTCTGATGATCTTTTCTTTGAATTAAAAGTTTTACAAATGACTTTGCCAGAAACTTTAATGTCAGCGATTGAGATTCTTGAGTTTGTCAAAGTTGTGGATTGCTACCCAATGGTTTCTATTGCTTATCGAATATTATTGACGATACCCATGACTGTAGCATCAGCAGAGAGAAGTTTTTCCAAATTGAAGTTATTGAAAACCTACTTGAGATCTTCAATGTCACAAGAAAGATTGAATGGTTTAGCGATTTTTTGTATTGAGAAGGATATGCTAGAGAATATTAATCTTGATGCAATTACTGATGATTTTGCATCGAGTAAAACACGTAGAAATTTTTTGTCATGAATATTTTTGTATTTAAAAAATTGTTGAATTTTTCTAATCTTATTTCATGTCATTTGATATTATCATTTTTTATTATTATTAAATTTTAATTTTAATTTTTCATATAAGGGCCTTTTTTTGTAATTTCGCCTCGTGCCTATAAAATGTTTGGACCGGCCTGTAGTATTACTGCTTGATTCTATCTGGTCTATCTCATTGTTCTCATCTTGGGCACAATAATATTCATTTCCAAAAGAAGGGTACACAAAAAAAATAAAAATCTGTATAAATAAAAGTTTTTAAAGTAACATGTAGATATTTGTATAATTAGTAGTTTGACATGTACAAATATAAATTCAACACAAATACAATATCAATCATTACATTTAACTTTAGAAAATATATGTATTTGTGACATTTAACTATAAATATTGCAGTCTTATTCACTCATTCAGTAGCAAATAAGACGAATAATAAAAATTTAGTAGCAAATAACATAGTGTTCAAATTAATAGGAAGGGAATACCGTGGTGAGAGTACTCATATACGTAAGATTAGGTCCAGTACTACCCCTCATGATATTACGCATTGAGCTGATCTTATGGGCCTGATCATTTGATTTGTGTGCACCACTTCCGCCAAGTGGAAATATTTGTTGAGTAGTTGCTACTATTAAGTGTTTTGAGCATACATAATGAACAATATAAAAATTGTTAAGTTTTTTTTTTTTTAAAAAAAATTCAATAATAATTTGTTACGATTAATAAACTATTTACTTACCGTTAGTAAGATTCGCGAACGGTTGACGGGTAGATGTATTCCATTCTTTCATTCCAACTGTGTGTGTGTATATATATATATATATATATATATATATATATATATATATATATATTTAAAAAGAATGTGTCACCAAATCATT